CACTCACCTGGCCGCGGCCTCTTGAGCGTGACACACCTGAGCAGGTCGTGGCGCGCCAGCAGCCGCAGCAGCTGCCGCAGCTGGCCCAGGTCGCCCTCGTGGCACAGCCCGCGCCGCTCCAGCTCCAGCAGCAGCTCCAGCCCGTCCCGGGGGTCCCCGCGCCCCCGGGGCCGCCGCGGGGCCGCGTCGCCGTCGCCCAGCGCCTCGTCCAGCAGGAAGGACAGCACGGCCACGTCGCTGGGCGTCAGCTGCGCGGCCAGCACCTCGAAGAGCCGGTGCAGGGACAGCATGCCGTAGAAGTCCAGGCACTCCTCCTCCTCCTCCCAGCCCGGCCAGCGGCGCCACGTGCGGCCCGCCGCCTCCCCGGGCTGGCCCCGCCGGTGGCCGTGGTGGGCGCCGGTGCCAACTCCACCGCCCTGCGGGGAGTGCAGCTGCGAGAGAGCGCGCAGGGACTCCACGGTGAGGGACACGGGGCTGGTGGCACCTGGAGAGGGTCACGGTCCGGTGGTGGCACCTGGAGAAGGTGAGGGTCAGTGGTGGCACCTGGAGAAGGGTGACGGTCAGTGGTGGCACCTGGAGAGGGTGACGGTCAGTGGTGGCACCTGGAGAAGGTGGCGGTCAGTGGTGGAGCTGGAGAGGGTCACGGTCCAGTGGTGGCACCTGGAGAGGGTGATGGTCAGTGGTGGCAGCTGGAGAGGGGTGGCGGTCAGTGGTGGCAGCTGGAGAGGGGTGGCGGTCAGTGGTGGCAGCTGGAGAGGGTGACAGTCAGTGGTGGCACCTGGAAAAAAGGGGGAGGTCTGAGGGGACACGAAAAGTGAAAGGGGCTGGCAGTGACCACACAGAACCTGTCCAGATCCCCTCAGAAACCGCCTCAGAACCCTCCTAGATCCCCTCAGAACCTCCTCAGGGCTGTTTCCCCTCACAGACCCCCTCAGAACTTCTCAGGACCTCCTCAGAACCCTTCTAGATCCCCCTCGGTGGAGGTTTCCCCTCACAAATCCCCTCACAACCACCTCGGTGGGGATTTCCTCTCAGAGACCCCCTCAAAACCTCTCAGGACCTCCTCAGAACCCTCCTAGATCCCCTCAGTGGATGTTTCCCCTCACAGACCCCCTCAGAACTTCTCAGAAATCTCCTCAGAACCCTCCTAGATCCCCTTAGAACCTCCTCAGGGCTGTTTCCCCTCACAGATCCCCCTCAAAACATCTCAGGACCTCCTCAGAACCCTTCTAGATCCCCTCAGAGCCCCCTCGGTGGAGGTTTCCCCTCACAAACTCCTCAGAACTTCTCAGAACCTCCTCAGAACCCTCCTAGATCCCCCTCGGTGGAGGTTTCCCCTCACAAACTCCTTGGTGGGGATTTCTCCTCAGAGACCCCCTCAAAACCCCTCAGAAACCTCCTCAGAACCCTCCTAGATCCCCTCAGAACCTCCTCAGGGCTGTTTCCCCCCACAAACTCCTCAGAACCCCTCCCCAAGTCCCCTCAGAGCTGTTTCCCCTCACAAATCCCCTCAGAACCTCTCAGGATCTCCTCAAAGCCCCCTCAGGGTTGAGTTTCTCCTCACAAACCCTCTCAGAACCCTCCTAGATCCCCTCAGAACCACCTCGGTGGGGATCTCTCCTCACAAACCCCCTCAGAACCCCTTCTCAGGGCTCTTTTTCTTCACAGAGCCCCTCAGAACCTCCCTGGAACTCCTCAGAACCCCCTGGGTGGAGGTTTTCCCTCACAAATTCCTCAGAACCCCTCACAAACCCCCTCAGGGCTGTTTCCCCCCACAAACTCCCCCCAGAACCCTCCTAGACCCCCTCAGAACCACCTCCATGAAGGTTTCCCCCCACAAACTCCCCCAGAACCCTTCCAGATCCCCTCAGGGACCCCCTCAGGGCTGTTTTCACCCCACAAACTCCTCAGAACCACCTCCATGAAGGTTTCCCCTCACAAACCCCCTCAGGATCTCCTCAGGGCTCCCTCAGAGCTGTTTCCCCTCACAGACCCCCTCAGAACCCCTTTGGATCCCCTCAGAACCCCCTCCATGGAGATTTCCCCTCCCAAACTCCCTCACAAACCCCCTCAGGATCTCCTCAGAGCTCCCTCAGAGCTGTTTCCCCTCCCAAACTCCTCAGAACCCTCCTGGGCTCCCTCAAGGACCCTCTCAAAGCTGTTTCCCCTCACAGATCCACTCAGAACCCCTCTGGATCCCCTCAGAACCCCCTCCATGGAGATTTCCCCTCCCAAACTCCCTCAGAACCCCTCTCAGAACCCTCAAGGATCTCCTCAGGGCTCTTTCCCCTCCCAAATCCCCTCAGAACCCCTTCAGGACCAGGTTTCCCCTCACAAACCCCCCCAAAACCCCTTCAGAACAGGGTTTCCCCTCACAAACCCCTCTCAGAGCCCCTCAGGGGAAGTTTCCCCTCCCAAATCCCCTCCAGGACCCCTTCAGGACCGGGTTTCCCCTCACAACCCCCTCTCCAAGCCCCCTCCCCACCCCTCCCGGCCCCCCTCCCCCCGGGACCCTTTTCCCCCTCACCGCCTCCGCCGCCTCCCCCGCCCGGATCCTTCTGGCACCTTCGACGGCTCTGCGCATGCGCCGCCCCCCCCGCGCACAGGCCACGCCCCTCCGCGCCCCGGCCACGCCCCCCCGCGCCCCGGCCACGCCCCCTCCCCACGCGGCCGCCGCGCGCCCGCCCGCGTGAGCCGCGTGCGTGGGCGGGGCTTCCGCCGGGCCGGCCACGCCCACCCGCGCTGGGCCACGCCCACCCCGGGCCGGGGGTTTTCACTGGGGAGGGGTCGCAGGGGTTAATTGGGGTTTCTGTGATTAATTGGGGGGTCGCAGGGGTTAATTGGGGTTTCTGTGATTAATTGGGGGGTCCCAGGGGTTAATTGGGGTTTCTGTGATTAATTGGGGTCTCTGTGATTAATTGGGGAGGGGTC